GTCTAGATCAACCTTGTAAAGAGGACAGGATCAGTCTGACAGCAGCGTAAGAGATTTGCAATCTTAGCAGTGCTAGAATATATTGGGCAGTTTTTCATTGCCTATGGAGGAAAAACAGCAATACTGCAGTAGTTCAATGGAAAAAAACCCTCAAAGATATAGCTAGTTATGGTTCATTCTGACTATCAACAATTTCCATACATAAAGAGGACTTTTTCACACGCAGCTGCAGTATTTTAAGTCCCCATTCCCTGCCACTATTAATAAACTGCACCCTAATGTATTGCACCTACTGGCACTAGTCATGACTACACCTACTGTCTGTAATGGGATGCCATTCATCAGCTTGGTAAGCTCAAAATTAAGTGATTTTCCTGGACACTGTTTCTCAGCAGCATCATTTGATCTGCTGTAGTTAAAAAGCCATGTCATTGGTTGCATTATAAATTCCATTTTACAGTCTTCTTTTTTTTAATAAATTAATTGTAGCTTTCCTCTAGGCTTAATGCTGGTATGAAAGGTTTTGGCTGATGAGCAAATCTTTTCCAAAGACAAGAATTTTCAATTCTATCATTTTTAAGTAACAGTGGCATAAAAAAGCTCACAGGAACAAACTTGTTTAAGTCAGCTATACAAATGAAAGTTGACAAGTAATTAGCTCCGTCTAGGAATGAATTGTTTTCTACATTTTAGGGGAAAAAATGTCATCAGTGACTGTGGAAGTGGCCTGAAGCATGGGCTTTGGAAGTCTAATACTACAAATAACAGTTTAAACAATTATATATTTAAGTAGTTGTTATAACATGGAGTTGGCATGACAAAGCACAAACTTCAAAAAAACACCATCTCTTGTAAAATGCAAGCAGTGAGCACACTTGTAAAAACTCAGCAATGTACTAGTAATTGTATTAGTCATCCTGAAAGACCTGCAACAGTGAATACATTAGTTCCTACATTTCATAGAATCATAGAATCGTTTTGGTTGGAAAAGACCTTTAAGATCATCGAGTCCAACTGTTAACCTAACACTGCCAAGTCCACCACTAAACCATGTCCCTAAGCACCTCATCTACACGTCTTTTAAATACTTCCA